TCGTGTGAACAGGCTCGCACGTGACTCCCCTCGCACCGCTGTGACCGGCGTCTCTTCACACCTGGTCGTGTGAACAGGCTCGCACGTGACTCCCCTCGCACCGCTGTGACCGGCGTCTCTTCACAGCTGGTCGTGTGAACAGGCTCGCACGTGACTCCCCTCGCACCGCTGTGACCGGCGTCTCTTCACAGCTGGTCGTGTGAACAGGCTCGCACGTGACTCCCCTCGCACCGCTGTGACCGGCGTCTCTTCACACCTGGTCGTGTGAACAGGCTCGCACGTGACTCCCCTCGCACCGCTGTGACCGGCGTCTCTTCACACCTGGTCGTGTGAACAGGCTCGCACGTGACTCCCCTCGCACCGCTGTGACCGGCGTCTCTTCACACCTGGTCGTGTGAACAGGCTCGCACGTGACTCCCCTCGCACCGCTGTGACCGGCGTCTCTTCACAGCTGGTCGTGTGAACAGGCTCGCACGTGACTCCCCTCGCACCGCTGTGACCGGCGTCTCTTCACACCTGGTCGTGTGAACAGGCTCGCACGTGACTCCCCTCGCACCGCTGTGACCGGCGTCTCTTCACAGCTGGTCGTGTGAACAGGCTCGCACGTGACTCCCCTCGCACCGCTGTGACCGGCGTCTCTTCACACCTGGTCGTGTGAACAGGCTCGCACGTGACTCCCCTCGCACCGCTGTGACCGGCGTCTCTTCACACCTGGTCGTGTGAACAGGCTCGCACGTGACTCCCCTCGCACCGCTGTGACCGGCGTCTCTTCACACCTGGTCGTGTGAACAGGCTCGCACGTGACTCCCCTCGCACCGCTGTGACCGGCGTCTCTTCACACCTGGTCGTGTGAACAGGCTCGCACGTGACTCCCCTCGCACCGCTGTGACCGGCGTCTCTTCACACCTGGTCGTGTGAACAGGCTCGCACGTGACGCCCCTCGCCATCGACCCGGACGCGCCCACCTCGGCGCTGCTGCCGCTGCCAGACCCGTTCGGCCTCGGCGCGGGCGCGGCGGTGCGTGAACCGCGCCCGTGTAGAGAGTCGGGCGTGTCTCGGCGAGATCTCGGCTGATCTCGGCGAGATCTCGGCTGATCTCGGCTGATCTCGGCGAGATCTCGGGCGACTCTCTCGGCGAGATCGCGGCTGATTTCGGCGAGATCTCGGCGAGATCTCGGCGAGATCTCGGGAGATCTCGGCAGGTGCGAGACGCGCTCGTGGCGGACGTGGATCGGCTCGTCGACGAAGTTGACCGCCACTTTGAGGCGGCGGTCGCGGCGGCGGCGGAGGCGGCGGCGGCGGTCGCGGCGGCGGAGGCGGAGGCGGAGGCGGAGGCGGCGGCGGCGGCGGCGGCGGCGGAGGTAGCGGCGGCGGCCGAGGTGGCGGCGGACGCGGAGGCGGCGGACGCGGACGCGGACGCGGAGGTGGCAGCAGAAGCGGCCGCGCCGGCGGCGGAGGAGGAGGCGGCAGCGGAGGAGGCGGCGGCGGAGGCGGCAGAGGAGGCGGCGGAGGCAGCGACG